AGTCTCAGTCTGTTCAACACCGGTTCAGTTCCCTTCTCATTCCCCTCACCCCTCCATAAATGAGTTTCTTTTATATATATATATATATATATAAAAGAGGTAATGGTATCTGCCTCATCTGGCTCCGTGGGGCTTGAGGAAGCTGAAATGAAAAAAGAAAAATAGGAAAGAGCTTTGACAAAAACAAAACACTACTCTGCAAATGTGATGGCTGGGTGCTATGGTGATGTCCCAGCTAGCAATTATGTTCTCGGCGGCAACTGTGCACAACGAGTGAGTCATTTTCTCACTCTCAAAGCGAAAGGTCTTGAAAGAGGAGAAATGAGGTGAGCCATTTGTTAAGAGATTTTTAGAGGGGACCAAAGCAGACCCATCCTTCTCAACACACATACATCCACACTATGCCCTAAATTCCAGCCTCCTGAGGATTCATAGTCAGCATAAGCAAGGACTGCACCCCTACCTCTGCTATTTAATTCTGAGACATGGGGTCCCAAAGTTATTGAGGTTTCTTGGAGACTAGAAGTCAGAGTTCCCAATTTCCATTCAGTCCCAGTTCTACAGCCAGCCATGGGCTCCAGTTTGAGTGTCACTAATTTACTCTGTGGCTTCACGTAAATGACATTCCCTCTCTGAGCTCTTTTCATTTGTAAAGAAAAAAATATCAAAAGGATGAACTAGATGCCTAACATTATGTTTCTAAATCTAGACTGGGATTCAGAAGACATGGATCTGAGTCCCAGCTCTATCACAACGACTGTACGACCTTAGTCAACTTCTTTCCTGCGCCTCAGTTTTCACAACTATAAAATAAGGCATTTGGGTTAGATGTTTGACAGTGTGTTTCAATAGTTCTGAACTGGCATTCTGGAAATGTGGATTCTAGCCCCAACTGCCACAGAGTGAATCACTGTCTGAGTTTAGACTGGTCTCATCTCTTCTCTGGTCCTGTTTCTCTATCTTTATCATGAGGGTATTCAAATGTAAGTTATCTAAACACACCCTCTGATTCTGACAGCCTGTGGTTCTAGAATTTTACAGGCACTGAAAAGGAAGTGAAGAAAGGGACAGGCCACACCCAGAGTAATTTCTCATAAACTGGCAAGTGGTTGCCCTCTATGGGTCTGACCTGGAAGTGCAGGCCCAACTAGACCACTTGCTGTGGCAACTGCTAAAGAGCTGAGGCCAGAGTGGGGCGCAAGAGATCACTGAGTACTTCACAAGATAGGGCCAGAATTATGCTGGGATTGGTCTATAGACCTCCAAGTCTCCCCCATAATGAGAGAGATCCAGATAAGAAGTGTGTACTGGAAGACTGGACCTTCTCACCTAGTGACCAGAACAAGAGGCTTTCCAGGGCTGTGCCAAGAGCATGGCCAGTAGGGTCTCTGCCATGGGCAAAGTGAGTAAATGTCAGGGGTATGGATCAATGGGGGTGGAGTGTGACTGCGCTGTGAGAGTGGGTATAGGAACAAGTTAGTTCCATGGCTGACAAGTTTTCACATGTGGGGCAAAGATATGGCAAGAACTGCTCAAATTAAAGTGCTTTTTAGTATCCCCATCTACTCCCTTCCCTCCTCAGAGAAGATAAAATTTATACCTGGACAGAAAAAAGAAGTAATCTTAGTGTGGGAGAGAGAACCTAATCATGAGAAAGAATGGGGAGTGCTTGGTATTCAGGGAAGGCTCTACTGTCTAGGGGATCTGTGGGCTCAATCTTGGGGTATCACTAAACTTGATGGGCTCTTTGGACTCAGTATTGCAAGACATTACATGCTGAAGGTGTAGGATGGGTTCAGATATAGGGTTATGTTACAGAAATGGGTGCATACTAAGGCGTTCACCAGTGTCATTCTACAATGTTTTATTATATAAGTACTACTAAGCAGGCCATGAAACACTGGGCTCCCTTTTCCCCATCTCTCTTGGTTATAGGGTCTGACCATTCAACCCAGATGCAAGAGTAACAACAAAGGCAGCCAGTGTTTCTCCTGTGTGACAGCAATGGTTGCAGCCCTACTTCTCTCCTGATTCACTGTAGAAACCAGGTCAAGTTTCAGCCTCTCTCTGGGCCTCAGTTTCCCCACCTGAAACAGGAGTGAGTTGAACTCAGTGAGCTTCCAGGTTTCTCCCAGCCTTGACATTCCATCTGGTTCTTTTATAACGTTCTCTGGTATTCTATGCTTCTCTGCCCCTACCCAGGTAGGGCCCACCAATTCCTAAAGGTCCTTTCAACCCTAACATCCAAGCCTACTCACTCAAGCTGCCAAGGCTTTCCATTACATCCTAGTCCCATATAGCCACCACTTCATCCCATCACCATCCCCTCATGCCACCACTACCATTGCTGCTGCCTACAACAGGGCACAGTCTTCTCGACTTTTGTTTGGAAATTCTAACAACCTACCTCTGATGCTGGTGAGTTAACAAAGATTGATATAATATTGCTCTGAGGTGACAGAACTCTCAGTTCTGCCACTACTCCCCTTTGTGCCCTTGGGGAAATTTCCCCATTTCTCTAAACTTCACTTTTTCCTAACTGTAACTTAAGGGCAGTGGACTAGAATGGTCTCTGAAAGCAGCAAATAGCTCCAACACCTTGCACTTCTAGGCAATGAGAAGCTCGAGATTGTCTTTGATGTTTTGTCATAATTCTGATCCTCTCTCAGTGCTCCTTAGATGGAAACCTCTCTGCCTACAATCTCCCACCTCTGATAATTACCCACAGTTTCCACCAGAAACTCCTAGACTTGTCTCCTTCCCTTCCTCAACCTGTTCCCAAGCAAAAAGTTTTTCTCTCCCAATCAAGGTGTCTGTGAGCGATAATGTTTATTGTGAGGCACAGACTCAATGAAGATAACAAACTGCTTTTTACCCTATCAATTTGCCTGCAAGGCATGGTGGCTCATGCCTATAATCCCAGCATTTTGGGAGGCCAAGGCAGGAGGATCACCTGAGGTCAGGAGTTTGAGACCAGCCTGGCCAACATGGTGAAACCCCATCTCTACTAAAAATACAAAAATTAGCTGGGCATGGTGGTGTGCACCTGTAATCCCAGCTAATCAAGAGGCTGAGGCAGGAGAATTGCTTGAACCTGGGAGGAAGGCAGAGGTTGCAGTGAGCCAAGATCATGCCATTGCACTCCAGCCTGGGCAACAGAGCAAGACTCCCTCTCAATAAAATAAAATAAAATAAAATAATTTGCCTATATGGTCTTGTCATTAGGTCATTGCAGCACCCCTACCACTGCTGATGCCCAAAAGCCTCTCCCAGAAAAAACACAGACAGACACTGGGACAAAGACTTTGAAGAATATTTTATTTAAAAGTTTTATAAACAGAATTATTTTCACAGCTTCAGCAACAGCAGGGGCTCAATTCAACCTCCCGGTTCAGACTAGTTGCTTGGGGTACTTCCTCAGACAACCCAGTTGCTTGATTTGAAGTCAGACATGAGGTGGTCCCTTCTCTTCCTTCTAGAAGCCATTTCCAAATGATGTGTATGGTGGGAAGCACCACAAGAAAAGCAGGGAGGAAAGAGCATGAAGGTAGCAAAAAAAAAAAAAAAAAAAAAAATAGGGGTGGGAAGGTAGCAGTGAAGATTGGGGTAGACCCATTACAGGTACTGAAAAGTGTCTGGAAAAAATAGTAAAGGATTAATAAATGAGCAAAATCAAAATTGGTCTTGTTTTGAGATGTAGTCCCTCTGTCCCTCAGGCTGGAGTGCAGTGGTGCAATCCAGGCTCATTGCAACCTCTGCCTTCTGGGTTCAAGCAATTCCCCTACCTCTGCCTCCTGAGTACAGAGGGACTACAGGCATGCACCACCATGCCAGGCTAATTTTTATATTTTTAGTAGAGATGGGGTTTTACCATTTGGTCAGGCTGGTCTTGAACTCCTGAGCCCAAGTGATCCACCCACCTCAGCCTCCCAATGTTCTGGGATTATAGGTGTGAGCCACTGTGCCTGACTCAAAATTGTTTTTTTAATCTGGAAGAGGAAATCACTTGCCTATTGTTGCCAACAATCCCAGTTCCTTCATTCTTGTCCATGCAATGTGCAACGATAACATTTCATATCTATAGGTGATTACATACTGTTATGGCTGACATATTGTGACTAATATTAACTAATATATTGTGACTAATGATGGCTAATACTATATCTAAAATATTATGAAAAGGTTGCAAAGATGGGGAGGAGTGGGCAAGGACAAAATGGGATGAAGAGAGGCTGGGCGCTGTGGCTCATGCTTATAATCCAGCACTTTGAGAGGCTGAGGCAGGAGGATCACGAGGTCAAGAGATTGAGACCATCCTTGCCAACATGGTGAAACCCCATCTCTACTAAAAATAAAAAATTACCTGGGTGTGGTGGTGCACACCTGTAGTCCCAGCTACTCAGAAGGCTGAGGCAAGAGAATCACTCGGACCTAGGAGGTGGAGCCAAAGCAAGCCAAAGAATAAGATTTCAGCCACCCAAATTAAGAGTGAGCCGAGATTGCACCACTTCACTCCAGCCTGGCGACAGAGTGAGACTCCATCTCAAAAAAAATTTTTTTTTTTTTTGAGACGGAGTTTTGCTCTTGTTACCCAGACTGGAGTGCAATGGCACGATCTCAGCTCACTGCAACCTCCACCTCCTGGGTTCAGGCAATTCTCCTGCCTCAGCCTCCTAAGTAGCTGGGATTACAGGCATGCGCCACCATGCCCAGCTAATTTTTTTGTATTTTTTGTAGAGATGGGGTTTCACCATGTTGACCAGGATGGTCTCGATCTCTTGACCTCGTGATCCACCCGCCTCAGCCTCCCAAAGTGCTGGGATTACAGGCGTGAGCCACCGCGCCCAGCCCTTTCAAAAAAATTTTTAAAAATGTGATGAAGAGGATGTCACAGAGTTAGAGTGCTTTGGTTCAGACCTAGCTGACCCGCATCTGCTGGGAGTGTGCGACCCCCTTGTAGACCCCCGCCCGGTACCCGATCCCAAGTAACAGCCCGAGAGTTGGAAGCCGAGTTCAGGTTTATCGGGACCAGCAGGCAGGCCAGGAAAGGAAGGAGATCAGGGCTGGCTGCAACTGTGCAGCTAGGGTAGGAGGGTTTTATAGGGGGGCAGACGGGGCGTGGACACAGGGCTGGCGGGGTGTCGTGGGAGCTTAGGATAGGCTGTCTGTCTCTGGGCAGACTGCTGAGGTAGCTCAGAGGGTTATGTGTCGGTTCAGGATAGGCCGAGGCTTGGCGGGCTTTTCTGCTGTGATGATTGGCTGCTTGCTGTTGCTGGGCAGAACAGAGCAGCGCCTGAGGGTTTTCTTCCAGGCGGCGGGAAGGGGGGGGCAGAGGGGGGCGGAGGGGGGCGGGACTTTCTACCGAACATTCCCAACTCCTTAAAAAGGAAAAAGGGCGGCGGAATCGATCTGGCTACTTCCTGCCGGACAGGGGCGGAGTGGGGTTTTTACGGAGCCTGGGAGGTCGGTAGGGGGGTATATGCGCAATCTGGATGGATGAGGACTGGTTGTAGCAGCATCTGGTTGATAGTGATCCGGGTGAGCTCCTGGAAGCGGCGCTGCAAGAACTGAAAGAAACAAAGGGCGACAAGTAAGAAAAGACAGATGATAAGCAGAGGCCCTATCAGTGGGGATAGGAGGGTGTACATGGATGACGACCACCATGCGGTGGCTTTAGTGGTAAACTGGTAACTTTGTAGCTCCGTCTTGATCTTCTGGAGATTTTCGATGCGGGTTTCTACTATTCCAGATTCATTGATGTAGTAGCAACATTCTTCCTGTAAGAAGATGCAGGTCCCTCCTCGCTCAGCCGTAAGCAGGTCCAGAGCCCTTCGGTTTTGTAGGGCTACTTGGGCAACCGAAGTGACCTGTCGTTGGAGAGATGCTAGGGAGGCAGCAGAGTCATCAATTGCAGTTTGCAGCTGTGAGGAAAGGCGGGCTAGGGCCTGGTGAGTGTTAATCAGGGCCCCGCTTCCTAGGCCTAGAGCAGCTGTGGATCCTGCGAGGGAGAGCCCGATAGCTATGGGAAGAAAGGCAGCTCTTCGTTGATGATGGGGGCTGGGGCGTGCGGAAGACATGCTAGTATGCATCATAAGAAGCTCAGCCGGTGAATAGACAGTGAGGCGTGGGACTAAGGTGACAGGGAGACAGCGGGAATGTCCTCTAAGGTCGGACTGGGTTAGTAGTTTGGAAAGGGTACCGTTGCACCAAAAGTAAAAACCTCGGGGAGCTGTTAGATTAGTTGTGAGTTGTTGAGTCCTGTTGCATGTGGGGTCTGAGCCCTGAGAAGAGTAACAGGCCGGAAAGGGTGAAGTGTTGAGGCAGGAGAGTGGGACGTCTGGAATTGGGGGGTGTCGGCCTGTCCCGTTGGTGTGATGTGTAGGGAACATAGTTGGAACTGCAACTAGAGGAGTTTGTCCAAGAGTAGCATACAGGAGGCAAGAGGTCAGATTGGTTAACCCTGTCTGGTTGGCGAGCTTTAGGCCTTCTCTCATGAGGGTTAACCACGAGAAAGGGGCTGAGTCTTTAATGTAGTTTTCTGCACTTGGATCGTGTTGTGGATTTCTGGAGAGGTGAGGACATATGCCCGCCAGATATATAAGTGTGAGGACAGATAACTTGTGGAACTGGTCTCGTAGACTGAGGCCTTTTGGGGTGCTTGCCATCTATCGTCCCAGGGATCTGGGATGGTTAGAGTAAGTTGGCGCTCTTTGCTGGGATTGCCTTCTGAGTCGAATTTTGTGGTCCTCTTAAGGAGGGAAGGGAATTGGCCATCCTGCTCCCATTCGTTAGCTGTGGGCTCACGCTGACAGGGGCCCCAGACACATCCCATACAAGAGTGCCAACTGGAGGTCTTACAAGCACCTGTCTGTTTATAGTTAAAGCATAGCAATGGGTGAGTACTGCGGATGTTGCTAAAGGTGGAGAAGTTGAGTTGGATGGGGAATGCACATCCTGTGGTGGGGCAATCTGACTTGGTCAGGAGGTGGTTATGGGAGTAAGGAGGGGTCGAGCAAATCCCAGTAGTTTTGGTATGATTTTCAGTGAGAAAAAATCTCCAGACATACTGTGGGTTAGCTAAGGACAATTCAGGGCTTAAAGAGCTTAAGTGATAGAGGACCAGTAGGAACACACTCCCAACGGGAACTGGAAGGGCCATCAGGATACTTTTTTACTCTTGAGAGATGGACCCAAGATGGAATCTGAGCAACTTTGATGGCCGTTGGGGTAGCTAAAGTGACAGTATAGGGCCCTTCCCACCTAAGCTCAAGAGAGAGTTTGGTAAGCTGATCCTTGATGAGTCTGTTAGCCCGTTCTACCTTACCCGATGACTGGGGGTGGTAGGCCGCATGCAGCTTCCACTGAATCCCTAAAGAAGCACAGACAGCGTTAGTAACTTTGGAGACAAAGGCTGGGCTGTTGTCTGACTGAATAGTGGCTGGAAGCCCAAACCGAGGGATGATGTCCTGGATGAGATGGGCAGCGACAGTGTCGGTGGACTCCGAAGTGGTGGGAAAAGCTTCGATCCTGCTGGAGGAGGTGGGAGGGCTTGAGGTTGCAGTGAAGTAGGTCAGTGGCAAGTGCCTGGCCGAATAGGTGCGGGCTATCTCAGAAGCCCTGTAGAAGGACTGTCCAGGCCAGTTGTTGGGACATGTTCGTGAGGGGGTCATCCCCAGTGAAGGCAAAGATAAAGTAGGAGTTGGGGTGTAGAGGTATAGTAAAGAAGGCATCCTTTAGGTCTAAGACTGAGAAACAGGTGGTCTCTGGGGGAATGTTAGAGAGAATGGTGTATGGGTTGGGGACAACTGGATGTATGGGAATTACAGCTTCATTGACTAAGCGCAAGTCCTGGATTAGTCTATATTGTCCTGAGGGTTTTCGTACTGGGAGGATGGGGGTATTACATGGGGAGTTAATGGGAATTAGGCGGCCTTGACCTTTTAGTTTCTCTATGATGGGTCGGATACCCATACGGTGGGCTTTAGAGATGGGAAATTGAGGGCGGCAGAGAAAATGAGGCGAGGAGTCTTTAAGGCGGACCTGAACTGGCTAGTGGTGGGTAGCTACAGACAGGTTGTTAATGTCCCAGACCTGAGGGTGGACTCCGGGGAGTAGTTCTGACAGGCCTTTTTGGGGTTCAGTGTCTGAGGTGAGGGCTAGGAGAAAGAGACTGTGTGGGTTGGCGGAGGGGAAGGTTATGACGGCCTTCAGCTTTGAAAGGATGTCTCGCCCCAGAAGGGGAACTGGGCAGGTGGGGATTACTAAAAAGAGTGGGTAAATGGAGTAGAGTTATATGAGCACATGAGTGGTGGGGTTTGGTAGGGGATACTCGGGGTCCCATAGAGTCCCATGACTAAGACCTGGGAAGGGGTGAGATGGCCAGAATAAGAAGGAAGTGCGGAGTAGGTAGCCCCCATGTCTTGTGACCCTAGGCTCGGCGAGGGTAACCGGAGTCGGAAAGCCAGGGCCCCGCTAGTCGTCTAGCAGCCCTAGTAGACTGGGGAACGGAGCTCCCTTGGAGGTCGGCTCCTGGCAAGCAGGCTCCTCCCTACTGAGGGTGACTGCCGGCTGCATAATGCCAGTGTGTCTGTTTTGAGGAACCGGCACCCTGGGGAAGCTGGGGCAGTTTGACTTCCAGTGTCCCAGGAGGTGGCAAATAGGGCAAGGCTTAGTTGGTGGCCATGGTTGTGGACAGGCTCGGGACCAGTGTCCTTCCTTTCCACATTTGAAACATGCTCCCGGAGGGGCATGGATTTCGGCCTTGGGCTTCTGGTTCCCTGCCGGCCTTAGAGCCGCCACTAGGGCTTGGGTCTGGAGGGCAGCCTTCTGCTTCATGCGAGTTTGGCGGGCAGCCTCAGCCCCATCTTCCCTGGCATTGAATACTTTAAAGGCCATTTTTACCAGGTCTTGGATGGGAGTCTCTGGCCCCTCTTCTGCTTTCTTTAGTTTCTTTTTTATGTCGGGGCACTGATTGGGAGATAAAATGGGAGGATAATACAGTGGCCCCGTTTTGGGGGGTTGGATCTAGTCGAGTATACCGGACTAGGGCTTCTTATGCTTAAGTGAGGTATTGGAATTCCTTAATATAGGTGGACGGGTCGGCTGAGAAGGATCCTAAACGTTTCTCAATTTGGGACAGGTCTTGGAGTGAGAAAGGAACATGGACCCTGATTAAACCTTCTGCGCCTGCTACTTCTCGCAGTGGGGCCAGGATAGCTGGCTGGTGGGAGCGGGTGTGGGCCGCCACCGGAGAGGCAAGAGGAAGTGCGGCCTCTGAGGGAGGGGGCTCGGAGGGAGTAGAGGGAGAGTGAGGCATGGCCTCTGAGGTAGGAGGTGCAGAGGGAGCAGAGGAAGAGCGTGCCGTTGATGGTGACTGGTTGCTGAGATTGGCAGGAGAGGATAGATGTTCAGGCAGATCCTCCGGTGAGGAGTAGGGAGGGGGAGAGGTAGTGGACTTCCGGAGTGGGAACAAAGGGGGAAGACAAATGGTCAGGCATCTCTTCCTGTAGAGTATAGGGAGGTGGCTTGGTTGGGGAGGTAGGAGGCTGCGGTGGGGGAGTTCGGGCTAAAAGAACTTGGTGAGTGGAGCAAGAAGAGCAGAGGTCAGGATGGGAACACAGGTCCCAAAAAGCCTGAACGTAAGGCACTTCCTTATCTTTGCCAGTTTGGCGGCAGAAGTTATCTAGGTCGCGGAGCACATTTAAATTGAAAGTGCCGGTGGGGGGTCAATGCGACCTGTTATCGAGCTGGTACTGGGGCCAGGCCACCTGGGAGAGGAAGATAAGCTTCTTTCACCTAAGGGTTTTGGGAGTAGCCCAAGCGGGTAAAGTCGAGAAGTAAACAACCTAGTGGGGCGTTTTTAGGAATTTTGGACTCCACGTTCCCCATGATGCATGCGGCAAAGGGTTCCTGCCAGCCGAGGGCAGTCTCGGAACAGTATCCGAGCTCGGAACAGTATCTGAGTGGGCTGGGGTAGTGTGGGGGAGGCGTCCCTCCAACCCACCAGCTTCCCCAGAGGAAGGTGGATAGGAAAGACCAGAGAAGGCGTCCCCTGTCTGATTGTTCCTATTTAATGGTTTTGGATTGGGTGGGTCAGAGAAGGCATCCCTTGTCTGCCGACCCAAGGCTCCTGGAGCCTGGTTGGGGGATCCTGCTCAGGCCGGCTGGCGCTTGGTGAGGGATCCGTGGAGTGGGACTGAGAGGAAGGGTCTTTGCCACACGCACCACGGAAGGAAAAGGTAAGAAACAGGACTTACCTGGTCCGGAGTGCTGAGGCCGAATTGGAGGAGGGCTGGAGAGGTCGCTGGAGGGAGGGGGTCGCTAGGGGGGCTAGCGACCCTCGCTCCCGGGTTTCGGCACCATATGTGCGACCCCCTTGTAGACCCCTGCCCGGTACCCGATCCCAAGTAACAGCTCGAGAGTTGGAAGCCGAGTTCAGGTTTATCGGGACCAGCGGGCAGGCCAGGAAAGGAAGGAGATCGGGGCTGGCTGCAACTGCGCAGCTGGGGTAGGAGGGTTTTATAGGAGGGCGGACGGGGCGTGGACACAGGGCTGGTGGGGTGTCGTGGGAGCTTAGGATAGGCTGTCCGTCTCTGGGCAGACTGCTGAGGTAGCTCAGAGGGTTATGTGTCGGTTCAGGATAGGCCGAGGCTTGGCGGGCTTTTCTGCTGTGATGATTGGCTGCTTGCTCTTGCCGGGCAGAACAGAGCAGCGCCTGAGGGTTTTCTTCCGGGCAGCGGGAAGTGGGGGGGCGGGGGGGGGCGGGACTTTCTACCGAACAGGGAGTCTCTGAGAACCTCCAAAGGACTTATGGCTCTAAGGAGCATTTGTCCTGGGAGCAATAGGGATCAATGCTATAATCTGGCTATGCTGGGCACTGAAGGTACGAATTGTCATCAATACCAATAACCAGTTGATGTCAGGTACACACAATTACTATCAATACCCACAGACAATCCCCATTGATATTCATAGGTAATCGATGTTGCTATGCTATGGCTACTATCACTCAGAAGTCTCTCATCTGGACCCTAGTCTAGATGGCAGGAGCAGTGATGAGGAGATGGGAGGGGAGAACTGGTTGAGAGGGAGATATAGCACCAATCCACGAAGAACTACTTTCTATCATTCCTGGTCATTCCAGGGTTAAGAAAAATGCCTAGGGTGGGGCAGGGGAAAGCTGAAGCCTAGCTAGCCTTGCCCCTAGGCCCCTTCCTTCAGGGTGTCCCCTTGATGACTTGGAAAAGTCTGACCTGCAGTCCATGGTTAGCTGATACTGACAAGCAGAAATTGCCAAGATCTGGGGCTCCTCCTCAAAGATTCTTTGCCAAAGCCAAAAATTATTATCTGTCACCAGAAACGCAAAAGGAAAGAAAGGAAGTTGGGGCCCATTACTCCTGATCAATGGGCCTATTACAGGGTCCCACTGGGCCTTAGTTTCTGGTGAGCCAGGGCTACAGCATAATAGCACTGGAAGTGGACCAGGAGCACAGGAACCAGCAAGACACCAGTGCACGTGCCCACAGTGGCTGTGACAGCAACAGTGAGCCGGCCCAGAGCAGAGAGGGAGTAGACATCTCCATAGCTGACAGTGGTGAGAGTTATGGCAGTCCACCAGAGACATGTAAAGATGTCTCCAAAGTGGGGCTCACTTTGACCTAAAATGGACATACCCAAGAGGAAAAGCAAGCCAAAGAATAAGATTTCAGCCACCCAAAATAAGAGAAAGGCACACACCTCTTTCCAGGAAGAATGGAGGGTATGAACGAGGACTCTCAGGGCCAAGGACTTTTCAAGGAAGCCCAGGAGAGGAACCAGCTTGATGACATAGAAAGAACGAATGGCCCCAAGGGTTAAGATAAGATAGGGTTGCCCTACAGCCTTGTCACCTACCACCAATTCTACCAACACGGTGAACAGAAGATATCAGCTAGATTGAGAGGGCTACACAGGAAGCGCACATTATCAGGGCAGAAAATGGCCTGGGCAAAGAGCTCAGTTCCAAATCAAAGGGCATAGAGCAGCTCCAGGTATAGCAGGTCAGGGGCACGATGGTATACAAGACCATTGTTCTGCTCTTACTGCTGCTGCTGGTTTTCTCCAACACCCATTGCATGTTCCATAGTAGTGAAGTTGCCAGGGAAGTAATCCAGCTGGACCTCCATCTCCTGGAAGAGGATGACCAGGGCACACACGGCAAAGAGTGTGGAGATCAGGGAAAGGCACTGGGGAAAATGATGCATGTCAGAAATCCCATTTGCCAGCATCCCCACCTCTCTAACCATACTTCCACCCTTTTTGGCTTCCCTTTTTGAGGGATGCCCTCAAATTGTCCTGGCAGTGTTTAGAGTTGAGTCCCCAGCACCATACCAAGTGTATAGCAATTATGGCAACTTGGGAGGATTCTTTGAAGGTAGGAGTGTCTAGCATGGTGTCACACACTGTTAATGAGTTACCTTGGCCCCTAAGGAAGACTGAGGTTGGTCAAGAAGCACATATAGCTACGGTTTCCAAATATCCCCCAGTCCCTGGCCTTCGATGGGGTTCAGCAGAAGGTGTTCATCCATGCAGGCATTCTCACAGGCCTCCCAGGACAGAAAGTCCTGGGTACGGGTCTCCTTGCCACTCAGCTTGCACTAGCAGCAAAGTGTCAGGGGTGCTTCCATCAGGCTCCAATAAGCCAACTCCTCCTCTAGGACATCCTGACAAACATTGGCAGGGCAGTGCAGCTGCTGACTATGGTAGTAGCCCAGCTCAGGATTGCGGTCAAAGAAAAACTCTCAGTTGAGAGTGGTGGCTCATGCCTGTAATCTCAGCACATTGGGAGGCCAAGGCCGGTGGATCGCCTGAGGTCAGGAGTTCCAGACCAGCCTGACCAACATGGTGAAACCCTATCTCTACTAAATACACTAGTGGTAACATATACCTGTAATCCCAGCTGCTTGGGAGGCTGAGGCAAGAAAATCACTTGAACCTGGGTGGCAGGGGTTGCAGTGAGCCAAGATTGCGCCATTGCACTCCAGCCTGGGCAAGAAGAGCAAAACCTGGTAAAAAAAAAAAAAATGAAAAACAAAAAAAACTAAAGAAAAGACAGAAACACAAACAGAAAGAAAGACATAAAGAGAAAAAGAAAGAAATAAGAAATAAAATAAAAGAAAAGAAAAACTCTTGGACCAGTGGGCCCTGAGCAGCTGGGGTGCCAGGCAGGGATGGCTCAGTCAGCTTGTAGAGGCGGGCACATGGAAAGGCCCTCATGGTGCTGATGTAGGTCTCATGGCATATACCCCCAACATTCAGGATCAGTTTATTACCTAAGCCTTCAATGGAAAACTGTGAACCTGCTTGTCTGCTGGCTCAGATCTGCTGGCAAGAGGGTGGATGACAGCGGTTAGGACGGGGTCCTGCCTTCTTCTGCCTCCTAGGTTTGGTCAGGGTAGGGAGAGGGCCGAGAGCTATAAAAGGGATGTGACAGCCCAGGCACCCAAGGGAGGCTATCTTGGGCAGGGAGCCGGGGTGCCTTTTCCTCCTGGGTTCTCAGGAATCAGGACAGCAAGCTCTCAAGTATGGTCACAGTGACTGGCCAGTCTCTCCTGGGCCCAGCAGTTCCAAGAGAAAAACCAGCCTAACCTGGAAACAAATGTCTTTCAGGGACTCTTGGGAGGTGTCTGGTGGCTTTGAGAGAATAGTTGTGCCATGGTATACAGCAGGGGAAGTTACAGACAGGCAACTGCAGACTAAATGGCCAGGATAGGGAAGGGGTCTCTTAATCTTCTGTTATCACTTTGAAAACTTGGGACTGGGGTGGGTGGAATGGGGAAAGGAGTAAAAGGAAGAGCCATCAAGGCAGGCTAAGTGCAGGGGATAGAGAGTAGAGTGAAAATGGGAGTGACACGGAAGCTGGAGGGCCTTAGAGATCCCCAGGCCTCCACAGGGAGCAGGAGGTACCTGATTGGAGAAACTGGCTTGGGGGTCGGCAGATCTGACAGTGATGGTTATTGACTCCAACTACCCTGGCGCCCAGTCCTGGGCACTCCTCAGCAGCAGCACCAGCAGCATTGGCACTAGCAGCCTCTGTGGGTCTTTCTAAAATTGCTTTGGGCTTAATGAGTTCTTTGCCTGGGAATAGAAAGGGGTAAGAACAGAGTGGGGACTGGGAGGAGGGAGGCGGGGAAATAGAGAGAGAGAAAGAGAGAGAGAGAGAGAGAGCAAGAGGAACACAGAAGAGCAAATGTTTGGGGGGGGAGGAAGGTCAAAACACCTTCAGAGACCAACATTTCAGTGTCTCCTACCCCCTGAGAAGAGTTTGTCTGGGCCTCCCATGTTTGTCCCTGAGGACAAAAAAAGAGGGCACAGGCTGGCATTCCCAGTCCAGGAACCTCTCCCAACCCCGGCCAGCCCCTGCTCACTCACTTGGTTGTTTGCATGGTCCGTGAACACTGGCAGTGAAGGGACTGATGGCTGGTTGAGTTGTGGGGCCAGAGATGGTGGGGTGGGTGGTGTGGCCAGCCTTGCTGCTACCTCCGGAGTTCTGGAGTTCGGGTCTGCGCCTGCATCGAGAGCTCTCCGGCCCCAGGGCCAAAGTGTGCTCACGGAAGAGACAGAGAAGAGCTAGGGCTTTCCGGGCGCCTCTTGTTCCTGCTGTGGCATGAGGAGTAAGCACAACAGCTCAACCCCGGGCTGTCGGTGCCCCTGCCTGTTTGTTTAGGGAGGCAGTCCCGGCCCCCAGCCAGCAGCGAATCAGACAAGGGATCCTAGCCAACTTTGCTGCTCCTCCTTCCTCCCTCCCACCACGCCCCCTTGCCTTAGTTCCAGCCTGGAGCAGAGGGAAAGGAGGAGGCAGCTGGAGGAAAAACAGTAAGTTTAGGGGTCAGGCTCCAGCCAAGTGGACACCTCACAAGACCAGATAATATTTGGAACAACTTTCTCCCCCCCGCCACCCAGCCCCACTCTAATTCCCTACCCTTCCCCCAGCTCTGCTGCAGTCCTCCTATCAGAAGCCTGCAGAGGAGGAAGGGGTGTGGGGGGAGGGACAAAACAAGTACCAGGAGACAGCCTCGGAGAGCAGATGCGCTCCTGACTGTATCCAGCTGCTTCTGCCCACTCATTTTTATTTTCTTTTCTCTAAAGGCCCTCATGCCAAGGCTAGAGATTGGAGAAGGGGAGGGGCAGGGGAACAAGAGAGAATCCTGCTTGCCTCTAGCCTGTGCCAGAACTGGCAGACACCCCAGCCCCTTTGAGACAAGCCATAGCCCCTCCTCCCGCTCTTCCCCTACTCCGGCCCCCAGGACCCCCTCCCTGGGGATTGAGCCAGTCTTTTATTTTGCTAATGATGAGAGTTTGCCAATGGAGCACCCAGATGAATCTAAATTCCAAGGTAGCCCCCACCCTTTGGCCCAGCCTCCAGGCCTCTCTCCCTTCACCAGACCAGAAATTTCTATGAGGAATAAAAATAACTACCACAATCCAACAACCTTCCTAACTCGCCCATTTCAGCCCATTCCTCTCTCAGAGTTAGGGCTGAGCTGAATGGAGAGTTTCAAGACAAGGGAGGGGGATACTGGCTCCTCTTCCCTCTTCATTTCTGACTTGCTGTCGGGCTGATGGAGAGGAGTGGTTTCCTCAGTGGACTTCATGGCGACAGTGAGAGAGGAGGGAAGTGGTGACAAACACAAAGGTATACAGGGACCCCTGAGTTCAGCTCTACAGAGCTGGATTCTTAACCTCTCAAAAAATGGCAGATAAGAACTTGGGCGCTTGGGGATTTTCAGAGTGGGGAGGTTAGAAGCAGCAGCTTCCTCTCTCTGCCCACCCCTTTTCCCTTCCCCTCACCTGTGCTACCCCTCATCCACTCCAGCACATTTACTTCTTGCTTCCCTAAATCTGCCCATCTCTTTCATGCATGGTGCTTTTCTTCAGGATACTGCTGTATCCTCTCCAGCTGTATATCAACGACTTCTTCCGTATCTCTCTCTAATGCCTCACTACTTTCTGGGAGCCTTTTTTGATGCGTTTCCTCCAAGATAGGGTCCTGTCCTCTGCATTCTCATAACCTGCTTTAGGATTTTTTTCCTAGAATACTCTTCATACTCCTCCCTCCAGCCATGCTCCTGGCATTGAGTGGGCACTCATCAGCTACCGAACAAACACAAGTTGTAACCGCTTGTGATTAGCAGATCTCTCACTTTTCAGAATAGTCTTCTGCTTTCCTTAATTCTAACCTAAATCCCACCTGCTTTGTTATCCTAATTAGACTGATGCCAGCTCCCACAATGCCTCGGCTTTTTCCTATTTGCTGCTGGCTGGTGAGGTCTAACTAAAGACAAACTGGTGACTAGTCTTGCAAATGCAGCCACAGCAGAAGCAGTTTGCCAGGTCTCCTGGAATAATTCTTCCATCCTTGAAGCATGGCCTCTTCTTGTTTTTCATAGGTCAGGTCATTAAAGCTTCTACCAAGATGCCAAAAGCAACGCAAAAACAAAAATTAAAATTGCCTGCAATCCCAGCACTGTGGGAGGCCATGGCGGGTGGATTACTTGAGGTCAGGAGTGTGAGACCAGCCTGGCCAACATGGTGAAACCCGTATCTACTAAAAATACAAAAAGTAGCCAGGCGTGGTGGAGGGCGCCTATAATCCCAGCTACTAGGGAAGCTGAGCCAGGAGAATCACTTGAATTCGGGAGGCAGAGGTTGCAGTGACCCGAGATCGTGCCACTGCACTCCAGCTTGGGTGACAGAGCGAAATTCTGTCTCAAAAATAAATAAATAAATAAATAAATAAAATAGAAATAGAAAATAAATAAATAGGGGCAGGCGCAGTGGCTCACACCTGTAATCCCAGCACTTTGGGAGGCCGAGGCGGGTGGATCACGAGGTCAAGAGATCGTGACCATCCTGGTCAACATGGTGAAACCCCATCTCTACTAAAAATACAAAAATTAGCTGGGCATGGTGGCGTGTGCCTGTAGTCCCAGCTACTCAGGAGGCTGAGGGAGGAGAATTGCCTGAACCCAGGAGGTGGAGGCTGCAGTGAGCCAAGATCGCACCATTGCACTCCAGCCTGGGGAACAAGAGAGAAACTCTGTCTCAAAAAAGAAAAGAAAAGAAATAAAAAATTGACAAATGAGACCTAGTTAAAGAGCTTCTGGGACAGAAAAATAAACTATCAACAAAGTAAGCATAATCTACAGAATGGGAGAAAATATTTGCATACTATACATCCAACAAAGGTCTAATATCCACAATCTATAAGAAACTTAAATTAACAAGCAAAAATTCACAACCACATTAAAAAGTGGGAAAAGGACATGAACAGACCCTTTTCAAAAGAAGACACGCATGCAGCCAACAAGCGTATGAAAAAACACTCAACATCACTCATCAGAGAAATGCAAATCAAAACCACAATGAGATACTATCTCACACCAGTCAGAATAACTAGTATCAAAAAGCCAAAAACAAAAACAAAAAACATGTTGGCAAGGCTGTGGAAAAAAGGGAATGCTAACACACTGCTGGTGGGAATGTAAATTAGTTCAGCTATTGTGGAAAGCAGGGTAGGGCCAGGCATGTAATTCCAGCACTTTGGGAGGCCAAGCCGGGATGATCACTTGAGACAAGGAGTTTGAGACCAGCCTGGGCAACATAGCAAAACCCTGTCTCTATAAAATAGAAATGATAATACTATTAGCCAGGCATGGTGGCAAGCCCCTGTAATCCTAACCATTTGGGAGGCTGAGGTGAGAGGATCACTCACTTGAGCCCAGAAGTTTGGGGGTGTAGTGAACTATGATCATGCCACTACACGCCAGCCTGGGTAATAGAGACCCTGCCTCTAAATAAATAAATAAATGCAGTGTGGTAGTTTCTCAAAGAACTCAAAATAGAATTACCATTCGACCTAGCAATTGGCATTGCTGAGTATATGCCCAACCAAAGGAATATAAATTGTTCCATTATGAAGACATATGCACACCTATGTTCATTGCAGCACTATTCACAATAGCAAAGACGTGGAATAAACCTAAATGACCATCAACGATAAACTGGATAAAAAAAATGTGGGGCCAGCTGCAGTGGTTCATGCCTGTAATCCCAGCACTTTGGTAGGCCAAGGCAGGAGGATTGCTTGAGCCCAGGAGTTCAGGACCAGCCTGGGAAACATGGTGAAACCCTATCTCTACTAAAAATACAAAAATTAGCCAGGTGTGGTGGTGTGTACCTGTAGTCCCAGCTACTCGGGAGGCTGAGAGAGGAGAATTACTTGAGTCCAGGAAGCAGAGGTTGCAGTGAGCTGAGATCATGCCACTGCACTCCAGCCTGGATGACCGAGCCAGACCCTGTCTCAGTAATAATAATAATAATAATAATAATAATAAAACTGTGGCACATATAAACGTAGAATACCACATAGACATAAAAAGCCCTCATGCAGTGAGTGGCTCACGCCTGTAAATCCCAACACTTTGGGAGGCCAAGGCAGGTGAATCACTTGAGGCCAGGGGTTCGAGACAAGCCTGGGCAACATGGCAAAACTCTATCTCTACTAAAAACACAAAAATTAGCCGGCCATGGTGGTACACATCTGTAATCCCAGCTACTCAAGAGGCTGAAGCATGAGAATCCCTTGAGCCCAGGAGGTGGAGGCTGCAGTGAGCTGAGATCACGCCACTGCACTCCAGCCTGGGCAACAGAGCAAGAACCTGTCTCAAAAAAAAAAAAAAAAATACTACAGAGTCTTTAAAAGGGGCAAGATCATGTCCCTTGCAGCAACATGAATGGAACTGGAGGTTTACTATCCGAAGTGAACTAATGAGAGGGAAACAACAGACACCAGGGCCTACTTGAGGATGAAGGTTGGAGGGAGAGAGAGGATTCAAAAACTACCTGTTGGGTACTGTGCTTATTACCTGGGTGACTAAATAATCTGCACATCAAACCCCCATGACATTCAATTTACCTATATCACAAACCTGCACATGTACCCTGAACCTAAAATAAAAGTTAAATAAACCACGTGCAGTGGCTTACGGCTATAATACCAACATCTTGGGAGGCTGAGGCAGGTGGATCACCTGAGGTTGGGAATTCCAGATCAGCCTGGCTAACATGGCGAAAACTTGTCTCTACTAAAAATACAAAAATTAGCTGGACACGGTGGTGGGCGCCTATAATCGCAGCTACTCAGGAGGCTGAGGTTGTAGTGAGCTGAATTGCACCATTGCACTCCAGCCCTTGGTAGCCTTGTACACGTGTGAGGTACTGGGTCTTGCCCTCTCCATACTGGAGGGCTAGAACTCTGTCCACATCTTGGGAGCCTGTTCCATACACTCTGTACCTGTCTGGCCAAGTGAAAAGGCTCTGTAAATCCAGAATCTGGCCCCAAACCATTTTTGTGAACTCTTTTCCCACTCCATTTCTCCTGCCACCTCAGACTATTCCCTATTCCCTCAAACAGCATCATGCACCCCTCCCTCTGTCTTTCCTTAAGCCATTCACTCTGACTAGAATGCCTGCCTTTCCCTCTCCCTCCTGCTCTCCCTTTCTGCAAACCCTTCCCTCACCACACACACACATCTGTTCATCTTTCAAAGCCCAGTTTAAATGGCTCCTCCTCTGTGAGACCTTTCTTATCTGGTCAGAATTTATCCCTCCTTTTTTCTCTGTCA